GCGATTGGCGGTGTAATCTGGGGGGGATTGGGGTTTTGATATGTGTGGGCTAAGTGGAGTGTATTGGTGCTTGGTGGCGTCAAGGATGTCTGACGATGTCAAAATTAGACTAAATTGGCCTTAGACAACAATTACGCACGGGTGGGGTTGGGTCGCAAGGAACAACATTATTCTGGCCAATTCATGGGTGGGGTTGGGTTGCGTGGGTGTGCACGTAGGCGGTAAGGCTATGACTACTAGTTAAGGAGAGAAATGGGGGGCTGTGGCTAAGGCATGGAGAGAGAAATGGTGGAAGAGAAGGAGTAGTTGTAGGGAGAGGGTGCTTGTGAGAGAAATTTGAGATGTGGAGGGTTATCTTGAAATTTTTATATTCATTTCAGATTTAATGCAATGCAAATGACCACTTTACCCTTTGACTGTTACATTAAATGATTTTATGTTAATTTAATGATGAGAATTTAGAATTTATGAAACTAGGGGTGGAAACTTCCCTCGCCAAACCTTGGGTGGGAAAATGTTGTTTACTGATTTTAAAAGTACGAAATTAAAATTTCTTATTTCTATTTTTATACATTTTTCAAAATAGAAACATAAAAGATAAGTGAAGACCATGTCTAAAACCTTAGAAAACACATACTCCTAAACATTTGCAGTTGTATTGTAGTTCATTTACGAAATTAAAATTTCTTATTTCTATTTTTATACATTTTTTAAAATAGAAACATAAAAGGTAAGTGAAGGCCATGTCTAAAAACTTAGCAAATACATACTCCTAAACATTTGCAGTTGTATTGCAGTTAATTTATTCATTTGGTTCTCAAATGGGATTGGGCATACAAAGTAAGACGAAGGTTTTCAAGGCCGGAATTGATACAGGGATATGTACCCAGGACTCAGGTCTTTATAATTTAAAAAAGAGTTAATGACTTTTTCCCACCCAAATAAGGGCTTAATGACATTTTTCCACCCACAAACTTTTAAAATACCACTTTACTATATAAATTTATATTCCGAAGGCGAACAAAGAGCAAACTCGATCCAAGCTGTTAGAGATTTTGAAGAGGCGGGGCCGATGAGTCTTTTGGTGGTGGAAGGTTAGATTTTGGTGATTGTGATTAATTGAATTTGACTTAGGAGGGGCGGCTGTGCAAACCTTAATCGCTCGATTGCTGGCAATTGGCGGGCTTGGCAAGAGTACGGTTTGAGGGGTTTTGGTGAATAATGATCAGGGAAGAGAATGGTGGTAGTGTAGCGTCATAATGATGCTGGAATTGAAAACGAAATATAAATTTGGATAGTCAACTGATATTTTAGAAGTCCGTAGGTGAGAAAGTTCATTAAACTATTATTTGGGTGTCGTTTACTCTTTAAAGATTAAAATAAAATAAAACTTGTAAGCCCAAATTGCTAAATCTATTTTAAAATCTTGAAGGGAGTGTTTGGTTGAGGATTATATGAGATTACTAGGGTTATGTCATCTTATATTCCTTGATTACTATGTTTGGATATCAAGTAATATAAGATTTCGGTAATCTTCAAATATCATTAACAGTTACTGTTGGTAATATTGGAGATAATTTGATAACTTACATTTTCTTATGTATTGTAAGATTACCAAAGTAATCTTATTTTTGTTACAATTCTATCCTTTATTAATAAAATTTTAGGACATTAATACCTTTATTTTCAAATTTATTCACATGAATCTAGCTTTTACGGTTTCACCCTAATTAATTAACTTGGACAAAATTACTCTTGAAATCAAAACAAATTGCAGCTTACCCAAGCCACCACCCCTACCCACCTACTACCAACCAAACCATTGCCAGTTGCTGCCGTAAGTCACCAGAGATCGCCTAGAATCTTCATGAGTAGCTGAGAGACACCGAGAGGCTCCGATATGACCTTTTCTAGCCATATTGATGGCCGAAAAGGCCATATTGGAGTAGATCTGGCCATTAATGGCCAAATCCATGGCCTTTATTGGCCATATCTAAATGAGATATGGCTGTTAACGACCAGATCTATTCTGGTCTCCAACTCCTCTACGTCGATCTTCGCCGTCGCTCTATCTCCCCTCCTCTACAATAATCTCCTCTCTGATCTCATCTCCGCCATCGACGAAGAGCCTAAGGCTGCTTGATCTAAACGATGCGTTTTCCAGCTTCTTTTGACGACTTTCAGGGGTGGATGGCGGTGGTAGGCAGTGGTTTGGGGTGGTGGGAGTGATTTTGTTATAATATAAAGTTTTATATAAGTGAGGGATTTTAGCTAAATTTAAAATATTGGGGGTTAAAATAAATTATTCAAAAATTAATAATAAAATTAATATTATATTAATATTTAAAAAGAGAGCAATTTAGTAATTTAAATAACATATTCACCAATTTATTCCTCCCAACCAAACATATTAATATAACATACCCACTAATTTATTCCAACTAACCAAACACATTTTCATAAAGATTCACAATAATCTTCAAGGTAATTTAACTTTCTAGTAATCTAACATTCCCTGAACCAAACGCACCTGAAGGGTATTATTCTATACACCCGGGTCTGGGTTTGATATTACACAAGACTCGTATCCAAATATAACCATGTTAGCCCAGGAGGTATACAGCCGGGTATGGGTCATTGTTTTAAAAACCAGACCGGAGGGCAACCCGCTTTGCTGGCCGGGTCGTAGTTCAACCGATCTAACCGATTGGATTGCCGGTTGGACCGATGACGTCATCACACATCATGATGATGTCAGCACATTTTAAAATTTTTTTTTTTTTTTTTTTTTTTTTTTTCTAGATAAATGCAAAGACTAATACACTTTAAAGGAAATATTGAATCTTGAATTCAAGCCCAAACAGAAGAGATAAATGAAAGCAACAAAACATCTATAATGAACTTTTATAGCCTAACCATTTCTAAAAAGCTAACACTTAAAAGAATTATATAAATCATACTGTTATATGCTAACCTAACATTTCGAATTCCTCTTCCAGTAAGTTGAGTAATTAAAAGCTGGCCTCCCAACCATTACAACTGATTTCACAGTTACATCGCACCCAAAATATGTTTTACATTTATATAGGGTTCATTCCACCTCTCCTCTTTGTTGCATTTGCATAATCTAAATACCAATGACGCTTAAGTTATAAAAATTGTAAAACCAATTACATACACATAAGTTGATGAAACATCATTCTCTAAATTATTGATTAGTTATTACATACGAACCCAAATCCTTAACCACACAGGAACGATTCAATGTAATGGTTGCCCCTGCATCATCCGTATTGAAATAAATTAATTCAACAATGTCGGCATGATGACCATAAATCATGTATTATTCAAAAAAAGCTCCAACAAAATGATTTCGAAGGCATATACATCAGCTTTCTCTATTATGAGTCCAAAATGGGTATATACTGGAACTAAATCATTAAGTAAATGATTGCTGAAAATTCTCAACCAAAAATGTTTTGCTTAAGGTCTATTTCTTCATTTATGTTCAAAAACCAAAGAATTGTATCATATCTCAAATTAAATAGGCCCTAGAGCTATATCAGCAAGACTGAGGGAATTTTCATATCCAAATGCTCCTCTTCTACTAACTATCCATCTGCCAGCAACCTTGCCAAACCGAAATTTCCCACCTGTTTTTGAGAGTGATGATACATAACAATCAATGTTGGTATACGTATTCAGTATATTTCTTGGAAATTTTCAATTAATCAAAATTAAAGAGAAAATATGAATTGCAAAAAATATGGAACTGACCTTTGGTCTGAAGTTACGGGTAAGGAGGATGTTATTAGGTCTAAAATCTCTATGAACAATGAAACATTTCAGATTTCACAGCAAAGGTCTCAAAGATTACAACTCACCTTGAATCAAATTGGATTGTCAAGACATGCATACCAATCAGCCTTCATGCATCGATTTCCAGTGAGGGAGGAACGTGTCATCGATTTCCGGCGAGGGAGGAACGCGTTATTGCGATTTCAGAGACTGGAGTTGCAATCGATTTCAGCAACGAATGGTTGCGATTTCAGTAAGGGATGGTTGCGATTTCAACAAGATTGAGTTTTGATTTGTGATCTTTTTTAGATTTTTGTGATTTCATTCAAATTTTTCTAGAGTTTTTTGCGCGTAGAGAAACTGAGGAAGAAGAAACTGCGCAGCGCAAAGGGATAAATTAGGGTTTTTTTTAATTTTTCAGTTGGACCGGTTTTTCTTGTGGTCTGGTTGGACCGGCGGTCCAGCACTGTTCACGCGTTCCATTGCAGGTTAAAGCGGTTCATTGCGTAATAGCGAGTTTAGGGTTGACTCGAATCGGACACGTGACCAGTTCACGGTCCAACTGGTTGGACCGGTCGGTCTGGCCTGACTTTTAAAATAGTGGTCCAGGTTTGATATTCATATGTTGGGGCCGGGTGTTGACCCAGAGAAACCCGGAAAATTGACATCCATTTAGAATAGGAAAGGATATTTTGTTAATTGGTGAGAAGGTGACAAGTAATACTCCATGATAGAGAATACAAATACGAAAGGTGACGTGTAGTAGATTTTACGTAGACAAACACAGGTCTACCACCAACCTCTAATTTCCTTGGAGGAGACAAAAAGAAACCTTTGAAAACGATTTTAGTACTAGTAATGCAAGTGGATGAGATACCATAAAAGCCCATATTGGTAATTCAGAAACATCCACCAAAGTCTAATCATAAACTCCCATTAATTCATTAACCAATCACTCAAAGCCAACAATAATAAAGATAGCGTTGGACAACTTCAAAGCCACAAATCAACCTTTCCTTAATTATATCGACGTGTCAAAATTTTATCCATCAGATCCTTTGGTCTCTCAAAATATCTAACAACTGATACTAATATTATATCTTCCATGTGGTCCCTACCTTAAAAATATCGCAAAATTAAAAAGAAATTGTGAAATAAATGTTGACCTTTAGACAGAGAGGTTGAGGCTCAGCCTCAGCCTCCCAATGAGCCAGTACCTTTTGATCGTGCTGACTTGGCAAGCGTAGGCCTCAAAAAATGGTGAGTTTCAGATATTTTATGCTAAGATATTTTAACAGCCGTAAGGCGTTAGATTTCGGAAATTTTTATTTAAAAAACAAAAGTCTGTCTTTAGATAGTACTGAAGAAAAGATATAGCAAAGAAGAATGGGAGAGGTGGTGTTGAGTAGTGAAGAGTTAATGGAGAAGAAGAATGAAGGAATGGTGAAGTGGGAAAGTTTTTTACAAGGGATGGCTTTGAGGGTTTTGTTGGTTGAGGCTGATGATTCCACTAGGCAAATTATAACTGCCCTTCTCAGGAAATCTACTTACAGAGGTGTGTTTTCATCTTTACTTTTCTTTTTTGTTTTTGAATTTCATTTTTTTATGTTGTGGGTTTGTTTTAGAAACTATAGTTTTGAGTTTGAGGCTCAAGTTCAGGGCCTGTGGTCCAGCTTGTGATGTGCTAAGTTTGGTTATGAAAAAGGAATTGTCAAATTGCAAAAGAAAAAAAGATTTGCTATTTTGATGAGTTAGATTTTCTCTGTTTATGTACTTAAATACTTATGTTTTGCTAAGAGGCAGGCCATTTTGGTTTAACAAAAGTTATATTCTTTAAATAATCATTATTAATTTGGAGCCTAATATTCAAGTTTTTCGCCAAGGTGGTGTGATTAAGGGCCAAAACTTGAAATAGAGGAATATTAAGCAATTAAAAGATACAAGGGACAAGATAATTTAGAACAATTAATTGAACAGTAATGTTTCAAAACCACTCTTGTGATATGTGATTTATGTCTTGCAGTTAGTTGATCAATTTTGCTATTGACTTAACCAGAGAAACAGATAACAGAACTCACATATTAACATAAATTATACAATTAAAAAAAGAGGGAAAAAAAAAAAAAAAAAAACCCACTTCTCTACTTGTATATCAAGTTTTGAGCTTAGCTTGATTAACTTTGCCAATCTTGACCCTATTGAGTTCTAGTTGTTGAATTTATGTTTTTGAGTGTTTATTTGTTTATTTGGGTTTCTATGATGGAGACTGGGTGATATATAAAATCTAAAATGTGAAGGCATGCTTTGTTGTGAATTGATCATGGCTTTGTCTTCTGTTTTGAGCAGTGACTGCTGTTCCTGATGGCTTGAAGGCATGGGAAATACTGAGAGGAAGACCGCATAACATAGACCTCATATTGACTGAAGTTGATTTGCCGTCAATATCTGGATTTGCTCTTCTTACGCTAATCATGGAGCATGAGATTTGCAAAAACATCCCTGTTATAAGTATGATATGTACCAATCACTGATTAATTTTCTATTTAAGACTTTTCATTAACTTTAAATTTTATGTTTATTGTTTTCAATATGCAGTGATGTCTTCCCAGGACTCAGTTAGTACTGTTTATAAATGCATGTTGAGAGGTGCTGCTGATTATCTTGTTAAGCCTGTGAGGAGAAATGAGCTAAGAAATCTGTGGCAGCATGTATGGAGAAGACAATCTGTATGTATGCTGTTTACACTTCTCTCTCTCTCTCTCTCTCTCTCTCTCTCTCACACATAAGTTTTATTGTTGTTTTATTTCCAAGCTGTCTTATTTCATTTCCATTTTTCCATTAGTCAACTATTGGTGGAAATGTTGATCAAGATGAGAGCGTTGGACAGCAAAAGATTGAAGCCACTTCTGAAAATGATGCTGCAAGCAATCATTCCAGTGGTCACGTGGCTTGTATCCAGAGGAATGAGGAATGCATTGAGAAAGGGAGTGATGCTCAGGTGAGTTTTCTCATTTTGTTTATCAGGTATCAAATGCATTATTTTGTATAGATTTAATGTTCTTCCTTGGGGTACAAGCAAGTCATCTTTTGCAATTTTCTTTTCATATTTAAGTGTTGGAGTGCTATCAGGACATATGAACATCTTATAAATTTATTTTATGTTAGTTTTATGGGCACATGTAGGCTTGAGTGAAAGTGAAATCACCTTCAATCTTTCATGGTACAGTTTAGATCAGAGTTCTAAACCTAGATACTTTCATGTATACCCCACTGATTAAATAATGAACTTTGTTTTAACTGATTTAAAAAATAACAACTTATTCCGTCATGAATTTACATGCTGGCAGCCCCAAAGTGAGGGTTACCCGATGACACTTTTGGGATGCTTAATGTATGAATTATCAAGGGCATGTTATCTTTCAGTTTATAAGGCCTCTTCTGGTTCAAAGTAATTTCCTTTCACCTTGGGTTGGCTACATGAAGTTTCATTTGTCACAGAAACTGCATATTTGCTGTCGCTTGCAGAGCTCTTGTACAAAGCCAGACTTTGAAGCTGAGAGTGCACAGATGGAAGAGATGCAGGATTTCTCACGGCAGGTCTGGGGCAAATCCTTACAAAATGATGTAAAGATGCCAACGCATGAAGGAAGTATCAATTATAGCCAGCAAATTGGGGGTAAAACAATTTTTTATTTGAAATCTGGTTACATCTTATGTGCTCAGTTCAGTTAGAAACCAACTTACATTATTGCAAATGCCTTAATTGTATTAGGATCAGTAGTAGCTGCCTTCAAGGATGCTAATGATAGAAATTTGGGCAAGGATGTTGAACCAGAAAGTCAAAGGAAGGATGTTACCTTCACTAGCGAGGTCTATAATGTCCTTGTCAATTCTTCTAGAGAAGCGATTGACTTCATGGGAGCATACAAAAATCAGAATTCATCTTCAAATAATGGAACAAGCAAGGTTGATTCTTCTCCAGATTTGGATCTTTCCTTGAGAAGATCTCATCCTAGTGGTTTTGAGAATCACGTGTCAGACCAAAGGTTTACCATCAAGCATTCTAATGCCTCCGCCTTTACTCGGTGAGTTTGTGTATCCTGTTATTATTATCTTTGTTTTGATCACTATTTACTGCATAAATTTTTCAGCGGGCTCTCGTTCCTTGTTTGATCGTTTACATAATTCCTTTTAAATAAATAAAAAAAAATACTATTAAATCATATCCAATTGGCTAAGGATGCAATTCTCTCACCTTTGATCTATACTTCAATCTAAAAAGCATGTGACATGGATTCTGTTGAAAAAGAAAAGGGATATGTGAACTCAACTTGCTCATGGTTTGTAGTCAATGAGATTGTTGGTTTTTCGGACTTTGAATGACTTAAAATTTCTTTTTGGTTTTTGAAATGCATTATGATAAAATGCAAAAAAACAAAGTTAAATCTTCCAAGTATAAAATTGTTATAGTTTCAATCACTGGTTTATGTTTATTTGTTTCTTAATAATTTTTGCGGGGTAGAGGGAAGAGGATGCAGATTAGAAATGAAGTAATATTTTTCTGTTCCACTGGATCATTTGTAATATATCCTCTGCATGAATTCCTATATTCTAATGCATCTAATGATTCTTTCATTCAGGTATACGAACAGACCATTGCAGCCACTACATTCAACATTGCATAGTGCTTTTAATCAGCAGAAAGAATTTGCAACTGACTCAGAGAAGAATTTATCTGATATTGCTACTATAAGTAACTCTGATACTCCGCTTGTAATGCCAAGTACTAAAAGAAGTGTTAGTTCTCTGGCTACTAGTCAGTCTAAACAATTTGAAGTAGAAACTTTGTGCCCTCAACACAGAGCATCTCCTGTCCCAATTCCAGTGAAAGGTATGCTGCTTAATAGCCTATGCACTGGCTATGGTTCAGTACTTCCTCATATTTTTTGTGCACAATCGGGTCTATCACCAATGCCAAGTCCAAGTTCAGCCAATCAGCAAGAACCGACCTTTCAAGTGAATCCAGTCCATTGCGGCAATGTTGAAAACAGTAATTGTTCACTACTTTATGATCGACTTGGCGAAAATGCAATTAATTCCATCAACCAGACTGTGCACATGTTGAGTCACAGGTTGGAGACTCTGGAGGATCGAGGACATATTTCTCCTGCCACCGATCAGAGTGCAAGTGGTAGTTTTTGTAATGGTGCTATAAGTCGTTTGAACAGCATGAGATATGGAAGCACTTGTGGAAGTAACAGCAATGTCGATCAGGTTCCTGTTGGGAGAGCTGCTGCAGAGAGCAAGAATGAAGAAGGATTTTGCCCTTCCAATGGAAACTCACATCGATCAATTGAAAGAGAAGCAGCACTAACTAAGTTCCGCTTGAAGCGGAAAGACAGATGCTATGATAAGAAGGTATATAACTGCAGTCATTTTTATCATTGGAACTACTATTTGATTGCTAAGGACAGAGGAATTGTACAATGATTTTGTCTTCATATATCCAGCAACTAATACCAAAATTTTTTACAATCTGTCAATGGAATAATTTCTGTACAGGTTCGGTACGAAAGTCGAAAGAAACTTGCAGAACAACGACCCAGAGTGAAAGGACAATTTGTTCGCCAAGCACAGCCTGATCCCACGTGGGCAGAATCTGAGAATCAGTGTGGCAATTCACTTGAGGGTTAACCTATAAACTTATTTGTGATGGAATGGAGATGAATTGAATATGACTTAGATTATATCTTACAAATCTTTACAGTAGTTGGATCTAACATGTCATTGCAGTAAAGCAGTCTATTTTCATGATGTTTGTGTATATGGCGATTACCATGTATCTATTGTAAAAATAGAGTTGTAATATATGTTTAAATTCTTTTTGTTTATTTTGCCATGGAGCTAATACAGCAATTATTGCTATGCTCAATTTCTTCAAACAAGAACACAGATTGTTCAAATATTAAAGGACCATGTCTTGTGTGTTTTTAACAAGGGAATTGATGAAGCTGTCAATTATTTTCCTCTCAAAAAAAAATAAACAGAAATTGTCAGAGAATTTGTACCTTTTTATTCAAAAAGGTTGTCATAGATGCAAATATCCGGAGGCTTGATTTAACGGGCGCCATATGACAGAGTGAGTGGTCCAACAAACAATAATTCAATTTGTATGTTTGCTTAGAAGTAGAACAGCAACTTCAATTTGTACGTTTGTCAAATAAAATTAAACCAAATCATATGGTCAAAATAAAGGCATTACAATTATCCCTCAAATTAGAATGTTGTAATTCAAACTATTTTTAAGCTTTATTCTCAATTTCGACATCATAAAACCTTATTATTATTGCTAGAACAAAGCACGTTTCATTATTTTCAGACCCAAGGCCAAAAAATTCAATTCATTCTCCTCACAACAATCGTCGTCAATAATGGAAAGATGTTCATTTTCAATATGTTAAGCCTTTTCAAAATCATTTACCGGCTTAAATGGATTATATTAAAAAAAAAAAATTAATCTATATTTCATTTGTAATCAACACTTAAACTTGTTTTCTTATTTCATTAAATTATTAATAATTTTATGATAGATCATTTTATTTAGCACAACATTCAATTGTTTCCTTGAGGAAACCGCTGGTTGTTTGTTTTGTTGTTTCTTAATCATATGACTAAATAAAACATATTAACATAAGAATTACCAAACAAGAGAGTAAAGAAGATTAGAGAAAGGACAATTTTGGAATGAATTAAAGTTTATTTTTGGGTTAATCACATTAATCCCCCTGAGGTATTTTAAAATAACAAAATCCCCATGTGCTTTCAGAAATAATAGAAATCCCATATAGTTAAGTTTCAGGTGTTAAAATAAATGATAGGAGGGTAATTGAGTAATATTTATTAACTCGCGATAAAGTAAATTTTAACAGCTTTCTAACAGTTTATAAACAGTAAGGGATTTTTCGGATTTTTCTTATTTCAAATATCTCATAATGATTTTTGTTATTATATCATGCTTGAGGGAGGTCTATGTCATTCACCCTTTATTTTTTCTGATTGATTGTGGGGCTTACAAAGAGTTTAGGTAAGGCTTAAATAACACTACTCTCAAATTAAACGTTATTTCAAATGAGTGGAGCTATTGACACTGACACCCACTAATGGACTAATGAAGCCATGAAGACATCCCATTTGAAAGTTCAATTTTTTTTCTCTTATGGCACCCCATAAATACCATTTAATTTATTTCTTTTATTTTAAAAGAGTTAACATTCTGTCCCCTTCATTTATGATATATGCCTCACACCATCGCTATTCCTAAAACAAAATTTTAGATAATCATATTAAAAGTTCATAAATGATTAGAGTGAAAAAAAAAAAAAAAAAATCCTTACAAATAGTCCCAAAATCATAATAAAGTTAAACAACACAAAAATATCACTACAAGAAAAAAGGGCTTTCTTGACGAGTATTACCTGTCAAGAAGGGGGTACAATGATAGTTTTTGAACTGTCATTATAGCCCCTGTCAAGAAAGGGTCATGACAGTTTTCGAACTGTCAAGGTCCTCTTGACAGTTTGACAACTGTCAAGGATTTAACAGAATTTTAACCAAATATTTGACAGTTAGCTAAATCCTTAACAGTTTTTGAATTGTCAAGGATTTAGCCGAATTTTTAATTTATTTTTATAAGAATTTTAGCCAAGTTGTTGATAGTAATGTCAAGATTTCGTTTGTTAATTTTTTTTTTTAAATTAGTAAAATTTCTTTATTATTACGTATTAAATTATAGAACAGTCGAATGAAATGCTTCATAATATTTATCCTTCCAACAATTATTACCATTCAACAATATGTAATGAGACATCGAACAATTGATCGAATGGTACATAATTATTGTTGCTTTGAGTAAACAAAATTGAACAACAGTATAAATTTTACAATATTGCATAAACAACAATGAAAAGTAATCAATTCAGTAATAAAAAGTTTGATACATAGTTTTTGCCCTCATTGGCCTTTGACATCACTGAAACAACAATAACTAAAAAACGTTTGATACATACATCGCCCATTCTGCTCTGACTTCATCGACCTCCACATATTCGTATATTTCTTTCCCCATGAACTATAAAAGTAAACACAATAAGACTAATCAACAAATATCAACTATATCTTATTATTCAAAATGAACAAAAAAAAAAAAAAAAAAAAAAAAAGACTTACATTGTTTTTCAGTAATGCCAACCAATTCTTAACTATATCTCTCATGTATCTCATTATATAAAATCCACATTCAACGTTTCCCAGTTGAATGGGTCCCTACACAAAATTAATTCGGAAGTAAGCATTAATATTCAAAAGGTAAAACAATATTATAACTGAAAATTAATTGTTATTGATGATAACAATTCTATACACCAATACTTTTGCCACGAGATATTAGCCCTTTTTTTGGACACCTTCCGAGCAAAATGGATTAAGATACCACTATGAAAGTTAAAACAACTTCTGAAATTAACACACAATATTTGATATTATAGAGAGCATTAAAAATGACATAAGTAGAAATACTAACTTTTGCACTATTTCTTGTAAATCCTGCCCAATATCTCCCCTCAAGGAATCAAGATAATACACAGTTAAAGTCTTCATGTCAATAGCAACAAGAACCTAATGAAACCTATGAACAAAATTGCATAAGTACCCAACACAACAAACACAAAGAAGCAATAGAATAATCACCCAACAAGAGTTTATCAGCCTAAAATAAAAATGAAATAAGATTTCAGCATGAAGATGTTGGAGTAGGTGCCCTAGAGCTAATCAATTATTGTGGAATTGACTCTTTGTAATAATGTTTATTAATCAATAGAAGGCATTATTTTCTATATCATGTAAACCATAGTTGTATGTATTGATATATGTCCTTAGAATGGTAGAATCGTGACAAGGGTATCAAGTGTTTCAAATCTTGATAGTGAGAACCCTATGAGCACATATGGTGGCCATTCTAGAAACGTCCGTAGCCTTAGTATTATTCTGACCAAGGGCACAAATAATATGGTCAGACCATCATAGTGTTAAACAACCCTGTCGAAAGGCAGTGACAGATCTCACTTGTCAAGGTTGTTGGGTGACAACCTGGTGCAATACATGGGTGTTTATTGTAGGCAAGTTCACTAGACTAACCCACCAGAAGATTCCATATAGATGGTAACCCTAGTATCTATGGAACAAATCCTCTAACGAATAATGGTGCATGTGATCCTTAGACTTGAGATCACCGGAGCGCCTTGTGCATCGATTGGTGTAGTTTGACACTAGCCCAACACAATTCTATTTAGAGTTGTCAATACGATAGTGATTGACTGCATCGAGGAGTGTATCAAGACTATGGTGGATCGATAGAGGATTCATCACTCCTAGATACGGGAGAAGTTATCTCACGGTGTAGTTTAGTTAATGATAATGACAATAAATTTGTGATCACAATGAGATTGAGTTGTTGCTCAATCCAATTCATTATTCTTGTCATTGGTCCAATAACTGAATACAAATATATCGAGAGTAAATGAGGTTGACACTATTTCAATACCCCAGTCTCATTGAGATAACAGATGATGAAAGGATTTGATTGTACGGTAACCATATCATTGACAGGTAGCTGCTTCACTAAATTTGAATCTATTGGATGGCCATGATGCCTTGCTAGGGGCCAATCTTGGTATGTGTGTAGTGAGACAATTAATTGGTGTTAATCGCGACACTGCACACTACTAGTATGATGAGGAGCCTACGGGTCACACACAGAGGAAGATAATTTAAGAATCAGTTTGTGCAAAGGGCTTTTTTGTCTTTTAGGGCAAAAGGGTATTTTGGTAATCTCAAAGTGCAATTAAATTTGCTGAGGTGGTTGCCCATATTTAATTTGTTAAATAAGTGAGATTATATTTAAATATATGTACACATATATTTAAATGGATTATTATTATTAATTAAATGTTAATGTATTTCTATAAATACATTAATTGAGTTTAATTGAAAATAATAATAATTATAATTAAAATATCATGATTGGGAGTGTTTGGATATAGAGGCTGTTTGGGTTGAAGTCCAAGCCTATTCCTTATTGGAATAGGGTTTTATGTGCACTATATAAGTGCAATGTTATGTGAATTAAAAGATGTGAATTCATTCAATCATTTTCTTTGAAAGAAAAGAAAAACACACAGCCTTCTCTCAAGCCTCACGTCACCCTTACTTTATTGAATCAAAGTTTCTTTGATTCTTAAAGCTAAAGAGGATCTAGCAAATCCCTCTTTAGCTATTTGGGTTATCTTCATGTGGATTACCGCTGTTCGATTCTATTTTGAATCGGTAGAGAACCCAGCCAGAGACAAGTTTGAAGGAGCCTCCAAATGTGCGTATGAACTCTAAACTTTACTTTGATTGTTCATATTAATGCAGATTTTGATTTAACATATAAACTGCATAATTTGTGCCCTGATCTTGGTTTAGAAAGGAATCAATCTGTGCTCGTTTTTTGTTTTGTTTTCCGCTGCCATGTGTTAGATCATTTCCTTACAGTGGTATCAGAGCCTAAGGTACCAGATTTTACAGTTTAATGTATGATTTACATCATGTATTTCATTGATAACATGTTATTTTGTTAAATTTGCAAAATCTATTTTTAAATGAATGATTCGATTGATCAATTGGTTTAATAATGTGTTGATGGATGTTATATTGGTTGGTTGGTGTCCTGGTCGAATGCTTGTGTGTTCGATTCAATTTGGATATGTGTGTTACATAAAAAACTATAAAAATGCAAACTGTACGATTCATTGATCTGCAGAGTTTGCCTTGACAAAATAACACTTTGCTGTGG